GTGGGTTCGAATCCCACTGAGGCCGTCGAATTTTTCACCATTTAGTCAATTGAATTATCAAATCTGCCAAACACCTAATAATTCAGGCAAATCTTAACTAATTTAGCAATGCAGGTAATCATGCGTAAGTTACTCCGAACTATCTCGTCAACATTGCACGAAGGGCGGGCCTACTTAGTTATAAGTACACGCCAGTCCTCGATTGCACTTGGTTGAGAACTGATGCTCTTTTAAGAGCTGGGACGGGGAACAGTCTACAAATTTGAAAATTGGACCACATAGTTGAGGCGCGTCAGACCAATCAGAGCAAGCTAGGTTCCATTGCGGTCGTCTCTTTGATCACCCAGGTTCAAATTTATGTATGCCATTTTGGTAAGCACACATTTTATCCGCAGTTATCCTCGGCTGCCTTAATAAAGACTCAAATTCAATTTCCTATTCTCATGTGCAAGTGAAAATCCAAGCTGCACCTGTAGTAGGGCTCCTGATCGCCTAACTGCTTCGCTCAAATCTGTTGCTCCTACAGGAGGAACTCGCCAAGCTTCGGAGCCAGACCGAACACTTGGCTAGGGAAAATGAAGATATGCAACGCAAACTGGTGGACAAGGAGGCGGAAATAGCCCAAATTGCACAAGCGCTTCACCTCGTGCGAGAAAAACTGTCTGTGCAGCAGCCATTGGTGGAACCAATTCACCCAAATCAGGATCATCCCGTGGCCGGAGAAGAGTTTCTGGGTCTGTTACGCTCCCTGGCCGTAAAACACTCATTGGGAGCCTTCACAGACGTATCGCCTGGCACTCATCAGACAAATGTTTCATCTGGAAACGCGGCCGCCATGTCGCCAAGGTCTCACTTTCTCTTAATTATTCCTTTATTTTTGTCTTATAAAATAATTCATCAGTTTGACCTGACTTTTCAGAATTTCAGAAGCAAATCACGTTTTTCTACACCTGTTGTTTTGAATGGTTAGGATTGAACGACGCAGTCCATACATCATATATCAATTAATGTGATTAATAGTAATCCGTTCATCTTCCGTTTACTGCCTTCCCCTTTCTTTTCTCTCCTACCCGTGTTCACAATATCTTCTGCAGCTTTCCAATTTCTGCACTTTCAGGAAGCTCTCATCAGACCTACATGGTCATTTAACTTCAACGGCATTTTCCGACTAAAGACTGTTTAGAAGTGGCTTAAATAAAAGTCCGGTTTTCCCGCAGTAAAATTTGCCCTTTGCCATGAAAGGGTGGCCTGGGCCCAATGATCTAGTCTTCTAACGGAATGTGGGATGCATGTTCAAATGACTCGGCAATCAACTCTATCTGTTTCTGACCTCCGAGTTGAGCTTAGCGACTCGCTCGGCTGTGGACTTATTGTTACCCGCATAGTTACTAGGCTCCAATTCATCTGCAGAATGCAAACCAGTACACGCGCGGACTGTGTTTACCCCAGCAATTTGCATGACCAAATTGTGACGCGGTGCAAGTGCGGGACCTTACAACACGGCCGGTATTTCATGCAAAATGCCGAAATTTGCGAATGATTGACAATCACTCGCAAACCAACCTTAAGTATGATCGCGCTATGTAATCTTAAGTCCATTCAGTCACGTCAGGGCGCCGGCTTTTTAACGAATTTCTTTCTCATCACTTGCAAAAAGCATCTTCGGTAAAAAAAAATAGCTACTTTAACAGTATGCATTTGATTAATTGATTTTTACTGCCCATATAAATTCAAATTAACCTTATAGAAAACATACACAAAATTATTCATTCCTTTACTTCTCGGGTAGAAAAGTACCCTTTCAAATTTTATACTGAAATGGAGGGTATATTTCGGTTTTACAAAAATGTCTAATTGTGAGATTTTTACGGCTGAAATTTTAATTCATAATACATCGTATCCTCGAATTTATCAATGTTGCCTATAATGTCTACATCATGATCACCATCTATTAAGAAGTGTTATGAGAACTATATGGCTTTAGAAGTAGACGACCCGGTCGTTGGGACAATACTTTTATT